TAATTCTAGATATTGTGAATAAAAAGAAGAAAAACATTGGAAAGAAATGTGGATGAGAGAATGGTTATATTTCTTCTATAAGAATTATTTTAAATACATTGAGTCTAAAACAGAGTAATCCATATAGGTATATGACTTCCAAAGTCCTCCAATACTTACAACTACCATCTTAACAAATTCTCTTTGGAATTTGGAATTCAAAATTACTGTTGGGTAAATTATCTAACATGGATAACTGAATGACAATGGAACAAATCCTATCTAACATGTTTTGTCCTTCAAAAAGACTTCATCAAGCTAAAATAATGTTTTTATTGATGGAATTATATATATATGTAACACATTATGAAATGGACAATGTCCGACAATTATTTTAAGACATTTTTATGTTTATACATTCTTTTTATAGATACAAATATTTAAGTAAATGCTCTGTTTATAATAAACAGTATCAAACAACATTTACCGGCCTGAATGTCTGAGAAATTTTCATAGAAAATATTTGTCCTTCGACAGGATTTGAACCTGTATCCTATACGGAACCGTCATTTAGCTTGATGTGCCTTTACCAATTTACCGACAGAGGTGCATTCGGTTAGCAAGTTACTGTATTTGAACTTCAATCTTCTATGAATCTCATGTACATTCATATCTGCTCATGGCGTATCAAATGTAAACAAATGACGTCACATATATATATAAATGAGAGGGGGGCAAAATTATAAACAAAATTATTGATTATAATTATATATCAAAAGAAAATGCTGAAGACTTAAGGACACTAAAATTTTAAATTTCTGATATCTGATGTGTCTAGATACACAGCTTTGGGGAATTCATTCAGCTACCCAACATTTTTGTTTTTATCATTGCTGTTTTTAAATATCTAATTTAGATATCCAATATCTAACATTCAAAACATTAGTTATGCAACTTTTTAGCTACAAATGCATATAATTTTCAACCAACTTAAGAAATATTCAAAATCCAAAAAAAAATCCTGATAAACTTGAGTGTCTACTTTAGTGTGATGGTGAATAAATAAGTCTTGCAGACAGTTTACATTTGATTCACATGATTCAGACATCAAAATTTAAAAATTAAAAAAAGTCAGATTCATGTGTTTTTAAGCCAGAAGGAAACCAGATAATAATGCTATTCATTTTTATATATATTGTGTCTTCTGGTGATACCAAGTGATTTTCTGATGAGCTTTGGTTAGCTTAGTTGGGGGTTCAAGCCCTACTATTGATGACGTTATCATGTTTACATATTCTATACATATGTCAATACATAGATTTAAAATAATTACAATAGAGAAATCTACTTTTATATTTTAAGCATTTATGATTATAAATACTAATTGATTATCATTGAATCTTGGTTTTGACATCTAAACTTCTATGAGAGAAAAAAAAGTACAATAAATAAACAATTTAAAAACATTTTTTAAAAATGTATTTTAAATTGTTTACTTATTGACTGAATAATGCATTACTTGTATTACTATTAATATTATTGTTGTTATTAGCTTATTTAATCTTAATAAAGAGAAATGTAATACATGCATTTACACATAATTTCTATTTAGTAAATAAATAAAATAAAATGTTCAAATTTATCTTCCTGAAATAATATCTGCTCATTAGGGGGTTAGATAGTAAAATTTTACTATCTAAACCACTGTTTGAACATTTTATTGGTTTACTATCAATGCTCTATTTCTTGATATTGACATTTTTACTTACAATGACTGCTCATCTTAAAAGCATTAACTTCTAGAAATAAACTGGTTGATCATATTTTTTGACAAAAACAATATTATTATTATAATTGTTATTTATACAGATAGTATTATCTTTACATCTTGGTCTTAAAAATACAAAACTTTATGATAAAATTATAAATTTGCATCTTTGTGAAATACAGTCTGTAAAATATAATAATTTGTAGAACAGTCTACTGAGAGAATCCTTGATCACTACACTGAACAGACCCTAAACCTGCACCAATCCTGATGAGTAGTCATGACTTCAAAGAAGCTACTTGCTTTGAACACCTACTGGGTCTAAAAGGTCACACCTAATTTCAAAAGGAACTCATTTATTCATGCCATTGCAAAAGATACTGGAAGAATGACCGGTTCCTTGTATCACTCCATAAAATACATAACTCCTGCTGCCATGCTCTATCTTTACAAGAGTCAGATCAAACCAAGAATGGAGTATTGTTACCATATCTGGGCTAGTGCTGCCCAATCCTCACTGCCCATCCTTGACAGTTAAAAAGCGCTTATGCAGCCTTGTGGGCGATAAATTATTCTCCACCCTGCAACCCCTATCCCACAGATGAAATTTTGCTAGTCTCTCACTGCTCTATCTCTGTCACTATTACTATGGTAGATGTTCGAATAAGTTACATTCTTTCATTCCACTAGCTCAGGGTTTCTCAGCTAGGACCTACCATGCCATGTCCATGGTGACAAATCATCCCTATTCCTTTCATATTCCTTTGATAAGGAGCAAATTTCACTCAGACAGCTTCTTCCCCAGAACTGTTGCTTTGTAGAACACACTCCCAAGAGGATACTTCCCTGACAACTAAAATCTTTGTCTCTTTAAGTCCAGAGTCAATTGATATCTATCCTTCACATCCTCATAATATGCATTTCTTACTTCTTCCTTCCCCCTCTCTTACAACAGTCTAACTCAGTAATGTTCTACCTTGAGAGTATCCTTTGGGCTTTGTATTGGGTGAACTAACTAAATAAATAAAAAACCTACAATCTTAATTTCTTCCAGTCTACAGCCAACTGTTATTTTTCCTACATACCCTTATAATATGTACTTCTCACTTGCTTCATTTCCAGCCTTACAACAACCTCATTGAATAACCCTCTACCTTAAGTGGCTCAACAATAGTATAAAAAAAATATAAATTTGGGTCATCATGAAGAATTGACCCAATAAAAGAGTCTAAAGCAGAGCATAATTTACCTATAGAATTTAAATTTGCAAGAATACTTTAGTGTTTTAAATTAAACTGTTACATTTAAGAGTCCAGGACTTCAGTTTCTTGAATATGAAGTAAAAAGATTAGATAACAAGAAAAAATAAATCTAACTGATATTAGATGAATTAAACACACAAAAAAGATTTGCTTTAATTTATTACTCACTATAAATAATGTTTTCTCATTCTAAAATATTTATATCACTTATCACATTAATAAAATATTTAGTCATAATGAATGCCAAAGAAAAAAAAGTAAGTGTATATATATCTCATGAAATATTAAACTTAGTTCAAAGACATTCTGTTCTAGTTCTGGGTGTAGTTCAGGAATCCTAAGTGGAGAATGGCTTATGTTCAGTTGGACTGAAAAAGGAAAAAGAAATCAACCAACTAATGTAAGTTAACACAAGTTCAAGAAACCTGAGCTCTCAGGGGGGAACAGCAAGGAAGAATCATCACAATCAGTCAGCACCTGTCCTAAAATGCTGCCTAAGCATGAAAGAAAGAAATATCTAAAACTATTTCAGTATTATATATAATTACCAGGTATCAGATTGCATCTCTTTGGGATTTACCTGCATGCCTCTTCAAAGCTCATCTATTTCCTTCACAACATTTGTGCAGTTTCCCTTCCCTAAACAATTCCTGAACTGTATCCTTATCAACATTTCAGTATTTGGTCTATTTATGCATGTATTGTTCTATTTCCCATTCATCTTCATAACCAAAAAAAATTTAATGATAACTTAGGCCAAGAAAAAAAAATGCATAATTATGTAAGCAGTATTGCAATTTTGTTTGTAAAATTACAAATTCTTTATTTATTTTGCTTGGATTTCCACTTGGATGATTGTAACCCTCACTCTAGTCTGGCTGTAAGTCTGGGAACTGCCAGCATCCAAGATTTAGTTACTTCTACCTTATATCAAATAACTTACAGGTGTTTGATATTTCATATAGTGTAAGGCTGTAAATGAATTTTGGAGTTTTATGACTTTAATTAATGCAATAGAGTTTACAATATATAATTAATATCTGTTTTGGAGTGATCAAAAAGACAACTGATAGTGTAGCAAGTGTAATCTTTACACTGTGCCACACCAATGTAGCTCTATGCCAGACTTAGCAAAGTTTAATAAATTCATATAAACATACGTGCACACATACACACACAGTAGTAATAATACTGTATGATTTATTATTAACAATGATTGTAGTAGTTTAAGAAATCAATTTTCTAGAGTATTATAAATTTTTCAGAAAGAAAATTATTCAATATTCATTTAAGTACAGTTTAAGATGTTTTAAATCAAAGCACAAAATAATACTGTGTTTTAATTGCCAAATCATTAAGAAATATCAGATGAGATAAAACATTTGCTTTTCAGATTTCTATCAATTTTCTCTCTAATTTATAAGATTAGTTGCATACAAAAAATGTTCTGTAAAAATATGAAGGCATTATAAATTAAATTATTCCTTTTTCCACATGTAAATTGTTTGTGTAGTTTAATTTTCTCTTTATAGTAAACTGGTTGAATAATTTACACAAAAACATGTTCATTGCAACGTGTAAAGGTATATTTAGGATTAACAAAATTGATACAATCAAAATAAAAAGTGATTTAAACCTTATAATTGATTATTATTTATTCTTTCTTCAAACATTCTTCATGTATTATCTTTCACCTTTTTTATTTTGTATATATCATCATGTTATCCAGTTTTAGTCTATGACTCATTCTTTCGAGAATGTATTCTTTTGATGGGTTTGGTAACTTTAGAAACACCAGTTGGGGGTGAGATAAGTACAAATATTATCAGTCATGTTAGGGACCTGAATTAGATAGACAGTTTGCAGTAAATTAATCCATTCTTAAAATAAAGGAAATTTAAATGAACCTGGAAAAGAGGCACATGTAAAACTAATTGATCATTTAAGATGGGTAAAAAAAGTGAAGAAAAAAAAGAAGATTAATCACTCACTCCTGACACTCAGCATGGCCACACATGCTTCTGACTGATTTGAAGTTGATGAGAAGCAGGTGTACATGGCTTGGTCAGCCTTGGTACATCTGTGGATATAGAGTTGATGCAAACACCCCTTACGGATGAGATTGATGCGGTCTGTGGAGTAGATTACTTCTCCATCTTTCAACCTGAAATTAATTACAGGAAATTCTTGGGTTTAGTCACTTTGAAATATAGAGGGTTCCAAATTAAACTAATACACAATGCTGCACAATCTATCTTAAATTTTGATCTGATTTCATAATGTTTTCCTTTGGAGGTGACACTCAGCATAGTACCAAGTATATTTCAATATATAAAGTGTGAAAAGTTACGAGATATTTATTTGATAAATATAAAGTCTATAAAAATACTTGTTTATGTATTAAAATGTACAAAGAAAAATATTATTAGTTTAATTATGCACACTCCTAAGTTTTAAGTTTGTCATATTTTGTCTTATGAGATTTGCATGGTGGAGTAGTGGATAGCGGCTCGGATTGAGGAATTGGAGAGCCGAGTTCAAATTCCAGTTGAATCCATTACATTCACTTACATGCTAATACCCTTGGGAAAGGTATGAATCCTCTTCTTCTCCCTCTAGCTATGGGTAAATAGGAGGAAAGACCAGGTTCTATAGCCTTGGATGGAAACTGATCTACTGCAGAAAGAAATGGCAACCTACTGCGAGAAAAATCTGCCTCGTCAGTCATGTACTGAAAGATACATGATCACTTTAGCATGTATCATGCATGACACATAACTGACTGACTGAATGCTAGTTAACATATATATTTGATATAAGAAGAATTTACTATTTCTCCAAAATAGTTTTAAGATATCTTAATCTCTGGCTTGTATTAAAAGAAACTTTTTAAGTTGAATTATGAAAAACTCATTTCCTGGTAAATTGTGTGCATCTACACTCAACCATACACACACATATATATATATATATATAAAATGTATGTAATTGATTTTGAAGTAGGTGGAGATTTCATGTTTATTGTTGACCAATAATGGATAGCAAACCCTCATAAGGCAAGATTTTCCACAGTGGCTACAGGGAATCTATCAACTAAAGAAAAATCAAGTTTTTGCTTTTCTTCTGCTTTAATTCTAGTGTGCTTCAGATAGGAAGGTTTCTTAGATGTTATACCTCATGCCTCCTTGTTATCAGCCTCTGTTGCCTCTATATCAATTGATACAACAGGCATAACTTTCATTTTTTGTTTCATTTTGTATAGCCTAGAATATATACTAAATTTTATGTAATTGATTTGGAATAATTTCCGTGTCTTTGTTTTTTTTTCTCACGATGTTTCAATTATTTATCCTCAGAACAGTCTGTTGTATTCCGGAATTTTATCATATTTTGTTTTGAGAGAGCCTACATTGTCTCTCTCTCCTACACACCATGTCCAGTTTATGCAATTGTATGTTCTGGGGATTGCTTTCTCTTGACCTCTATGTAGAACATGTGAGCTTCCAAAGTATCCATTTCACTTAACCAGTGTTCCCATCTCTGGAATCATAATCACTTTTTCTTTCCTAATCAATGGTACCAACAAGCTATTAATGTCTATACTTGATCTGCTGATCATGTTATCTGAGTATTATGTATAGTTTATATGTCTAAGCAGTATATAAGAGACACTGCTTGTTTTACAATATAAGCAAAACAGTGTAGTAGTTTTAGAGTACAAATTGTAGTTAACACAAACATATTGGAAATTTTTTTATTCTTGGGTTTGTAATATAAAAATGTGTTCTCCTGAGTTACAGTATGTACTAAGCTTAGTTTAGTCTGGCATAAGACCACAGCAGTGGAACATTCAGTAAAGAAGATATTTATTAAGTTTAGGTGAGTCTAGTATAAGACCACAGTAGTGAATTCACTATACAAGGTTCATGATTCATTACTTTGTTACAACTGAAATGTGGCAATAAAAATATGTTGAACATTTAAGATAAAAAGATGAATTGTAACTAGTATAGAAATACAAAACTTCATGTTTACCTCTTAACCAAATAAATTACATAGAAAAAGATGTTGTACTATAGATGCCATGAAGAAATATCTATAAGGGATCATTTTCTGTTATTAATATATTGATCTTGGTACAAGAGAGTGAAGAATATTGTTTTAATCAGATCAAAAAATTCCATTTACACATTAGATTGTTTTAACCATTAAAGCAGCATTGGGTATAGTTTGAAGAAGGTACAAAAAAAAACAGTTTGAATACCTTTTTTTAAAATCTTATATTTTGATTTTTGTTATTAAAACACCAACTTCAATTTTGATATCAATAATTTGTGGCTTTTAAAATTTATTAAACTCTATCAGAAACACATTTTGGTCTTCAGAGTTACTGAAAACATTCAAATTTGTTATTGTATCAGTATTAAATGTATGTAATGACTTTGAATTTTAAATTTTCATATTTCCCAAAATTAAAGATGTAATGTTTTCCTTGAAATAAGTTTAAAAAATATACCCTGGATCTTAAAGGTTGAAAGTTACTTGCTTTTTTTTTTTTTTTAAATTTTGTCATTTAAAATTGGGATGCATCGAAGCTGGATCATCCTTGACACTAGCAAATACAGTATGTCATTAATGAAATACTATAATTTGGGAAGGCGAAAATATGGGTCAGTGTTACTTTAAGATATTTTTTTGATTTCTTTCCATTTTAGATTTTGTACTATATATACTGCATTTACTTTTCCTTGAACAATAATTGTATACTGCTTACACAGTTGGGAAGTAATTGCACAAAGTATACTTTTACACTAATAATCTAAGCAGATAATAAGTAATAGAGTATAGGATCTTTAGAGAGTGTAATAACATTTGTTTTACAGTTATGATAACTTGTGTTCATACTCAATTGAGTTGCCAAGAGCAATAATGTTGAGCAATAATTTTGAGGCTTGGGACATCTTAGGAAAGAGGTAATAAGAACTTGTAACTAATGTAGTAATTATAAACTTTTCAGTATCTCTGTTCTATAGCTAGTCTATTATAATTTCTAGTGTAAATAAATATATACATATTATTATGATAAACATTATTTTGGGTACATATGTTTGAGTAGATATCCCTGCTTATTTACAAACAGTGCAATTAACGTCTATTAGTTTAGATCATCAGAAACCTTATTAAAGAAAATGTACTTCTCGGCAGGGATTGAACCTGCATTTCTGGGTTTTTTTTTAGGAATCACTTTTTAGCTATACATGCTTTACCAGTGGGAAATGGAAGTCCTTACAGCAAGGTAAAACTCAATTAACCTTTTTAAGAAATCTCCTAGAAATCAATGGGACATTCCAATGTCTATATCTGTTAACTTACTTCCTGTGCTTGAAATGTAAACAAATAATTTAAGCAGTTAATGGATTTTTTTATTCAATTTGACAATATTTCTTAATATGATAATAATATTGTTAGGTTAAAAAATATCCATAGATTGCAGACACTGGAAAGAAGAGATGGAGTCGTCTTCTTAGGCAGAGAGTAGAGTGACAGCAACTGCCTTGGCTGGAATTTGAACTCAGCTTACAAATATCATTTTTTTCTGGTAACTGTTATGCAATCTGCACACACATGTGTGTGTTTGCAAGGTGCTATTCAAAAGTTTAGACACCTGCTCAAACTCTCAAATATTTCTGTAGCACCTTATATATATCATTATATCTAGAGTAATTGTTAAGACTCTCTGCTTAGAAGACAAAGAAAGAGAATAAAATGTTAATCTAGACAGTTAATTTTAGTGATTCTGTTTTTCTGATGTTAAACAATTTAAATATGTTTTGTTCCTTCCCACAAAATTGACTTTACATCAATAAAAAGAGCTGGTATACCTTTGCTCAATATCAATTATTTGGAAATAAGGCATTCAAACTGTTTTCACTGTACCATTTTGATTTCCTACCTTTTACCGCGTGCATTCCATAAACACTTGTGGATACTTTCTGTATGAAGAAAACAAAACATTGCAATCAAGTATAAAAAGCAGAAAAGAGCACAATAATTTTGTGTCTTTTCATTTAAGGAGAAGCCATACCATGGAAGAATAAAAAAAGTGTTCATTTTGAAACCCATTAAACCTGCTGTCATTAGTATAAGTAGCACAAAAAAGAACTGTAGGTAAACATTTTACTTCATTCTGATTAATATCTACTTTTTTTGCTGTTATGTTTTAGCATAATGTTTCACTTGGTAATACATGATTCTCATTCAAAATGGTATAAAGTCTTTCATGTAAATATTTATTCATGTACAGTGTGAAAAGTTCCACAATAATCAAAATCCAACATTTGATGTTCACATCAAACACTCTTGTATCAATATTTTATTTCTTTCAAACCAATCTCTACTTTTTTTGCAGTTATGTCTTAGTATAATGTTGCACTTGGTGATATATGATTCTCATTCAATAGGTATAAAGGATTTGATATAAGTATAAAGACAAGAAACCACCTGCTTTGTTAAGTAACATATTTTATACAATATGAGAAATTTTGTTTTAAATAGCAAAAATTGAAGTTTGTATTATACACAAGTATAATATTTTGGTAATTTTATTTACTTGTATCAACAAAATAATCACTATGTATTGTTGTCTCATTCAGAAACAGCTTTTCTCATTAATTACTATTAATAATTAATGTATACAGTTTTGTTTTTGGTTTGGCTAGAATGATTTGTTATGCTAAATTCAGATCTATGACTAGTTATCCCACATATATTGGATATATTTTTGTGAGGTAAACACTCATCTTTGATGTCTTTTAAGTGGGCAAAGATATTACTGTTTTTGAAAATCATAATTATATGACATCATTTCATAAACTAAGATCTGAATGTTTCACACCTTCCAAAGTGAGGATTGTATTCTATCCAAAATTAAAATATATTCTCATAAATGACCAACTTATATATACAGCTAAGGTGGATAATTTTTCATGGCAGAAACCCTTTGATCTCTTTTAAATAGATAAAAATATCAGAGTCCAAAGTTTACACTGGTTTCTAAAACTGTCTTAATTATAAGTCAATACATCATGCAAGCTGAAAACTGTGTCATACCTTCTATAGTAAAATTATACACAGTAAAATGTTTTCGTTTTTTATTATATGTAA